AAGGGTATGCACAGTTTTATAGCCCTTTGGGCATAGTTCCAAATTGCTCTGCAGAATGGTTGGATCAGTTCACAACTCCACCAACAATGCATTAGTGTTCCGATTTTCCCATATCTTCTCTAACATTGATCATTTTTCTGTTTTGTCATGTTAGTCAATCTGATCGGTGTAATGTGGTACCTCAGAGTTGCTTTGATTTTCATTTCTTTAATCAATAGTGATTTAGAATGTTTTTTCATATGACTATAGATAACTTTAATTTCTTCATCTAAAACTACCTGTTCATATCCTTTGACCATTTATCAATTGGGGAATGACTTGTATTCTTCAAAAGAAGCTTTCTTATGTATATACTTGATCATGTTACTTCTCTGCTCAAAAACCCTCAGAGGTACTCCCTGTTGCCTCTGGGGTAAAGTTACAAACCCTCTGCCTCATCTTTAGGGTGGCCTACTTGCAGTTTCTTTAGCACATCACTCCATCTACAGTTTCTATGCCTTTGGATTGACTGTCCCTCATTCCTAGAATATTCTGTCCCCTAACTTCTGCCTTTCAATTTTCCTGGCTTCCTTTAAGATTCAACTTAAATCCCTCCTTTTGCAGGAGGATTTTCCCAGTGCCATCAGTTGCTGATGTCTTCTCTTTTCAGATTACCTTTAGCTTCTCTCTCTCTCTCTCTCTCTGTGTGTCTTGTATGTACTTGGTTATTTACATGTTTTCTTCTCCATTAGAATATATACTTCTTGAGGGCAGGAATTTTTTTTTGGTCTTTCTTTGTATTCCCAGTACTTAGCACAGTGCCTGGTACATAGCAGTAGACCTTAAATGTTTGTTGACTGACTACACAATCTGATGCCACCTTTCCTTTCTAGTTTTATCTTATAACATCACCTTCAACACTCTAGTTAAACTTCTGATTTCTGAATCCAAATGCACAATGCATTTTTTTTTCTTTCCTATCTTGGTGCTTTTGATCTGGCTATTCCCTATTCCTAGAATGGTCTCCTTCTCTCTCTTTCCTCATTAAAGTCCTACCCATCCTTCAACACCCAACTAAAATGTCATATTTTTAATTAAGTCTTCCTGATTCCTCATCTATAACAACCTTGTATCCTCAGACTTCATTTGTAATTTTGTTTTAAAAATCTATAATGTATTTATCTTATAACATTGTGTATTCTAGTTACCTGTGTTGCTGTTTAGACTATAAGTTCTGAGGGGACAGGAATGCTGTTTTACCTATTTTTTTTTAAAAATCTCCCAATACTTTGCCCATATTAAGTGCTTAATAAATGTTTATTTGTTGATTAACAAACTACAAAAGTAGAGTATAAGAGAGGCATGGTTAGACCATACTTTATATGAAAAGATCTGGGAGTCAGAAGTGTGATTTGGCAGCCAAAAAGGCTAATGTAACGTAAGACTACATTAAGAAAGACATAATGAATGTCCTGAAAAAAGGGAGGAGATATTCCTGCTGTGCTCTAGCCTAGTCAGATGAAATCTGGAATTTTGTGTTCATTTCTGGGTGCCACAGTTTAGAAAAGTTTAGAAAAGATACTAAGAAATTTGAGAGTGATTAGAGCAGGTTAGTCAACATGTTGAGAAGACTGGAGGCCATTTCAAATGAGAACTGTTTAAGGGAACTATAGATGTTTAGAAGAAGAGATTTTGTCGGGACATGATAGTCGTTTTCAAGTATCTGAAGAGCTATCTCATGGAAGACAGCCAATGTCGTCCTGCTTGGCCTTAGGGGAGAGAGCTAGAAACAGGATGATAGTTGCTGAAAGGCAGATTTAGACTATGTAAGGAAAAACTAAACAATTTGAGCTATCCAAAAGTAGCATAGAGTGCCCCAGAGGTAGTGGGTTCCCCATTGTTTGAAGTCTTTAAAAAGCAGTTTATTTTTATTTTTTGAGTTTTTTTTATTTTCAAGTACATATATATATAATATACATACATACATATATATATATTAATCTCTGCTTTCAACTAGCTTCCCCTCCCCATTTAGCAAATTTTAAAAAAAAATCTGAAAAAATACTTCAGTATATAGTTACATAGTTCAGCAAAACAAATTCCCATATTAACCATATATGTGTGTCTCTTTCAACATTTTAAGTTCATCACTTCTCTGTCAGGGTGTGTTTTATGTTCAGTCTTTTCTACTTCTAACCTATAGTTACATTGATCAGAGTACTAAAATCTTTCAAAGTCATTTTTTTTCTATAATGTTATCATTGAATACTTTGTTCTACTAGTTCTATTCACTGTGCTTTGCATCAGTTCATAGAGGCCTTACCAATATCCTCTGAAACTGTCCATCATTTCTTGTGGCAAAATAATTTTCATTATAAATATAATTTCCATTATATTCATATGACACACTTTATTTAGCCATTCCCCAATAGGACAACCCCTTAATTTCCATTTTTGGCTAACATGAAGAGAACTGCCATAAATATTTTTTTCCATATATATTCTTTTTGTCTTTTAAAAATTTCTTTGAGATATAGGCCTAGTAATGGTATATCTGGGTTAAAGAGTATGTACAATTTGTTAACTTTCTGGGCATAGTTTAAAATTGCTTTATAGAATGGTCAGACCAATTCCTCAGCTTCACTGACAATGCACTAGTATACTATTTTCCCTCAGCATCTATTGGAGGTCTTCTAGCAGAGACTGGATGACCACTTGTCAGGAATATTGTAGATGGAATTCCTCTTGTATACCCCCTGCTTGCTGGGTTTTTGTGGCACTGTTGCTGCAAGCAGTTTTATAATAACTGAGAAAACAAAGTCTGAGCTATGTGATTTATTAGCAAAGCATGTAATGGCAGAACAAATTGGGTCCTGGGCCCCTCAGCAGGCACAAGGATCCTGAAGAGAAATTTACAAGGCTTTTTTATAGTAAAATACAGTTACTTTATAAAGCATTATTATTTTTAGATTTAGGAACTTTCCAGAGTTTGGGGATTCTGATTGATTGCACCCACCTACATCCTGTAAAAGTTAGTGGCACAATAATGACTTCCCTGAAATTATGTAATTTACAGGAAAACAACACTTAATTCCAGCAGCTGTACAAAATGTTGATGAAGATACAAAATGGAGTTGGTTTGGTTCTCTTCTATCTGTCTAACCAGCATCTCCTTTGTTGCATCTTCATCCATGTCCTTCTTCCATGTTCTTAACTAGGGGTGATTCCCCCAAGGCTCTGTCCTGGACCCTCTTCTTTTTTCTCTCTATACCCTCTCTGTTGATATCATTAGTTATCATGGATTAAATTATCTATTTCTGTGAAGGTGTCTCTCAGGCCTGAATCCTTTTCCTCAGCTCTAGACCCAAGTTATTAATTTCTTGTTGGACCTAACCAACTAGATATCCTTTATCCTTTAGACTCAATAGGTCTGTCCAAAATGGAACTTATCTCCCTCCCCACTCATAAACATCAATCCCCTTTTTATGAACTCCATGTTTCAGCCAAACTGGTTTAGTTATTGTTCCTCAAATAAGTACTCCATCTTCCATTTCTGTGTTTTTACCTAGAATGAACTTCTTCACCCCTACCTTTTATCACTCCTAGCCTTCTTTAAGACTTTGCTTATGGAGGCAGCTAGATGGTGCAGTTGATAGAGTACTGACCCTGGAGTCAGGGGGATCTGGGTTCAAATCTGGTCTCAGACCAGACACTTGACACTTACTAGCTGTGTGACCCTGGGCAAGTCACAACCTCAATTGCCTTGCAACAACAACAAAGATTTAGCTTATGTGCCATCTTCTGCAAGAAGCCTTTTCTGTGTTCTCTCCATCTTCCTCAAGTTATCATGTATATATTTTTATAGAGGCAGCTGGTAGAATAGTGGATAGAGTACTGGGCCTAGAATCAGGAAGATCTAAGTTCAAATCCAACTTCAGACATTTACTACATGTAATTGTCATGTAGTACCTGTGCGAGTCACTTAACCTCAGTTTCCTTAAAATGAGGATAATAATAGTTTCTACCTCACAGGGTTGTTTATGAGGATAAAATGAAATAATATTTTTTTAAGTTTTCCAAAATTTTACTCATCTCTGTAACTTATTTCTTTTTTATTTTATGGCTAGATTGATTTAGGTCTGACAGATTCACTGCTTGTTTCAGAGTCTTAACAGTCAGGCACCATATGTTTCCTTTGGTTTTTAAAAGAAGTCTTTATGTTAGTACTGAGTTTTAATGCTAGCACTGAGAAATGTTCATCTAATGAATATTTCTGACCTAACTCCATTGTTGTAATCTTTGGTTTCTAAGCTTTTTAGCAACCTTTTCCTTTCCTTCATTAAAAACTTTATAGTTAGATATGGTACACAAGATCCACCAGGAGTCATCCATATAACTGTATCCTTTTGGCAATGAGTCACTGAAATAATATTTATAAAAAGACTTAACACAGTGCCTAGCACAGTCACTTATTTTCACTTTCACTTGTCTGTTTACATGTTATATGTAGACTCCTTGAGCACAGGGACACTTTTTAATTTTATCTTTGAATCTTCAACACCTAACACAATGCTTTATACATTGCAGTTTAATAAATGCTTGTTGGATTGAATTAGATTATGGTTCCCATATGGATTTGCCTAGATAACTCCTGATTTCCTTACATGAGGACAGAGTCATTTGGGGAATGACTGTATTTAGGACATAGAAACTTATTACTGTAATAATATATTAAATAATTATAATTTTTTTTAGTATGTTCTGTTTCTTCTGCAGTATTTCATGAGGCACATCTTGTCAGGGGTCACACCAAGACAATAATAACATATCCTGATATATGGAGTAGATGCTTTGATTGCCAGTATATGGAGTGATCATGAGGGGGTGAGGCATTATTGCCTCATACCCTTAACTTACTTTTCTTTCAGTGGCAGCCCTCAATTCTGTCTCTCCTATCACCAGTATATCTGAATCTTTCCAGTTCATTGATTATCTTAATTGCTTTTTTTTATGCTTTTCAGACACTCCTTCACCAGCTTCTACTAATAGCCTATCTTATTGGTGAGTTGCAATATGTCCCCTTCACTTTGGGACCTGATGGTTGCCTTAATTATACTCTGCTAGCCATCCATCCATCATGCAGTATACAAAAGTCCTGGATTTAGAGTCAGAGGTTGTAGGTCCTAATCCTGGTTCTGCCACCAAGTGACCATGAGCAAATCACTTAATGTCTATGGGTTTCAGTTTCTTCCACTATAAAATGAGCAGATTGGACCAGATGACCTTTAAAGTCCCCTTTAGTTCTAAGTCTATGGCCTTTTGGGTGTTCCTCTTTCCACATTGTGCTTCCCTTAGGAGCAAAGATTGCTCTCTCAAATTTTCACTACTGAATCTTATTTGCTTGCTACCCACTCTCCCCCCACCAAAGCTGACCTCCATAGCCACACTATTTAGATGCCATTGCCTAGACTCTCTGATTTTAAATACCATAAATTGGGTATTCTTGCTTTGGGTAATTTTGGCTGTGCAAATTGGTCTGAAATATATGTACTGCCCCATACATAAAATTCGATATTTCATTCTCTCTACTGACAGCTCCTTTCTCACCCATTCTCCTTTAGGGCTCTCTCTGCTTCCTCAGGACCAGGGATTTCCTCTGTCAGGCCTTATCTAGATGGTATTGGTGGGAATACAGGTCTCACGCCCAGCAGCTCAAGTAAGTGGAATTACATTCGAAGAGGAGTGGTTTAAAATTTCATTCATATTTCCAGCACTTTCCCCAGCCAAAAACATGCTTTTTGGCATTTTAATGGAACAAAATTTAAATGGAAAACAATCTTTTTGGAAATAATTTATTTTAAATAATCTTAGGAGCCAAGAAAGGGAAAAAACTATTATTTTATGGGTCATAATGATTAAAATGTGAATCCAAACTAAACCTCAAGCAGTCAATGTAAGAGGTGTTGTCACACTACTGACAACTAATTTGTCTCTGCTCACTAGTGAAAGTAAGCAGGGGTGGGGAGAGGTCCTTAGACATTTTGTATTAAGGTCAAGGGAAAGGGAATGGATGTCTGATACTATTGAGACACATAATCTCTTTATGTTTTAGCTTCAAGATAGAAACATACAATGCACTGTTGGTTGAGCAACTTTATAACAAATTTCTCACACGCTGGGCCGTACTGGATTAAAAAAAAAAAGGACAAATAAATTGAAATTTTTTGGTAGTTTTACATGAGTAGTAATTACCCTAATCTCCTAATTCACATTGGGCCAAAATATTCAGTTACCATAGTGGAAACCACTGTATTTGGTTGTTGTCAGCAAACTAGGAAGGAGCTTATTTTCACTGATGATGAATTCTAAAACCAAAAAGTAATCTGTGTGTACCTCTCTTGGACGACTGCCATCTCATCATCTTTCTTAACTGTCCTTCCATCTCTAAGCACTTTCTATTTAATTGAACTTAAATCTCAGACCCCAGCCTTATGAAAGAAATGTGGACCTCATCATCTCCCCTTTAGTTATTTGCTAATGGCTTTACAGATAAGCCAACCCTTTATGCCTGCCTCTGTTTCCCTGCCACTGGGGCCCACAGCATTTAAGAATTCCTGATGGGTAATTGTCTTTTCTGCTCACTCAGGCCAGAGTGTTGGTAGATCAGCACCAGAGACTCCTGTGGCTTTCCAGCTACCAGTCCTGCAGGTGAGCCCTACCTAACTCACCTAATTTTGCATAAATAACCCACTGCTCTTTGGGCCTCTGAACTAAAAGATATAGTAGGAAAGGGCCCAACTCTGGCTTTTAGCTAGAATGGCAGGGTGTAAATTATGGGTAATGACCTGGGTTATCAGAGCACTATAGGGAAAGTTCTGAAGTGGGTGGGGTTTATTGTTGTTATAGTTGCTGTTTACCATTTTCTATTGAGTCTTGTCACATTTCCAAAAGATAAATATTTCCAGCGGATACTTTTTTTTACCCCTGGGGAAGGTAGCTTCAATGATGCTTTTTATGCAAGAGGATAGTATCCCCTTAATAAAAGGATTTTTTCTGTGAAATTTGGATTCAGGGGCAGCTAGGTGGCGCAGTGGATAGAGCACCGGCCCTGAAGTCAGGAGTACCTGAGTTCAAATCCGGCCTCAGACCAAAACACTTGACACTTACTAGCTGTGTGGCCCTGGGCAAGTCACTTAACCCCAATTGCCAAAACAAAACAAAAAAACAAAAAAAACTGAAATTTGGATTTAGTCAAAGAGCTGTACTTGTGGACTTAGGGGGCCGCATGTAACCTGGATGCTGAAGGTTCCCCACTCCTGGGATAGACCCAGGGGTCTGATCTACTGAAATAGATCAGTATTTATCAGTCTGATCTACTGAAATAAGCACATGGCCAAGAAAGAGTAGGAGAGGTCTCTATGGAAAAGGCATTAACCAGATGAATGATAAAACCCATGCTTTAGGTTAATTTCCATTGTTTAGTCTTTAAGAATATTTCTAACAAAACTTTCTTTTCTTAGCTCCAGGTCACCTCCCAGACACCTCAATTGCATCAAAGTAGGTAGGTAACTTGCACCTTATTCTATATATTTCTCCTTAGCAAGAATAGGGATGCCAAAGATGAGTCGTCACTCTACAAATGTCCCTGAAAAGTTTGCAGAAGATCCTGCACACCAGAGGGACAGGGACATTAAAGACTTTGCCTACTCCCTGTGACCTATAGAATAAACTGCAGTTTAGGTGGAGGATGAGAGAGTAATATCACATTTCCCCTGAAAACTATGCCTAGTTGGGGGCAGCTAGGTGGCACAATGGATAGAGCACTGGCCCTGGAATCAGGAGGACCTGAGTTCAAATCTGGCCTCAGACACATAACACTTACTAGCTGTGTGACCCTCGGCAAGTCACTTAATCCCATTGCCTAGCCAAAAAAAAAAAAAAAAAATAGGGCAGCTAGTTGGCACAGTGGATAGAGCACTGGCCCTGGAGTAAGGAGGACCTGAGTTCAAATCTGGCTTCAGACACTGGACACTTACTAGCTGTGTGACCTTGGGCAAGTCACTTAACCCCATTGCCTAACCCTCCCCCCCCAAAAAAAATCAAACAAAAAAAAATTATGCCTAGTGACTTGCATCGTGAGTGCTTTGGTGCCTTCCTTGTTGTTGTGTATAACAGCTCTGTATTCCTCTCCTCATTGCAGGTTCTCCACCAACAGAGGCCGATGCGATTAGTGAGAGTGAGGCATGGGCCTTTCCCTGCTTTTGGATCAAACTCTTCCCTATGTCCCCATACTATCCTGTATATGTTGCCAGTGGGACACACTATAGTTGTAGTTAATCTTCTTCAGGATGTTCCCAGAGTGTTAAAAAAAAAAAAAGATCTCTTAATCCTTCTTGCTTTCAAGGTACACTGTTATCTACTCAAAGATTCCTTTGCTTTTTGGGTATCTGGGAAAAGAGGCAGACCTAAGATACTTCTATATATGGGTGCTTTGGAAAGATGGCTATTTTTCCTCCCACAGGTCACATGTAAATATTATTATCTCATGCAGTTGCAGTTGAAATGCAGGATGTAAACAGGCCCCAGTACAAACGTGGTGAACACATATTCACCAACTACACTTCAAAATTGTTTCATTTCTTAGTTCAGGGTAGCATTTCCCATGGCCAGGAGCAAGCCCTCAGCATTAGATTCAGTTCTTCCTCTCTCTACTTTGTCCTGTGCTTACATATTATATCCATATACTTGTAGCCCCTTTTATGCCTAGTTACTATTAAATGGACTTTTCCCTTCTTGTTTTTTTTTTCCTGTAAAGATAGGAGTGGAAGCACTTATGTTCCCAATTTATTGATTCATAAAGACAAAAATAATTAGGAAGATTTTTCTTGTCATCAATATTCTTTGTACCAACCACACAATTTAAAGCAGAGAATCATCAAGGTTCTCCATCTCCCTAAGCATGGTTAAGAGCTCTGGGGTTGTAGAGAAGGTAAAGAAACATTCCATTACTGAGCCAATTCAGAGGCTATTTGCTTTAAAGCTTTGATGGGAAGGGAGAGGTTATTCATGAGTGAATGAGCTATCTGGAGGGTACTTCACCACTACTCCATTATTATTAAACATCAAATAACTCCAACTACATAAAGATCGAGTGGCTTATAGAGAGTTCATGTGTTATCCTGGGAGAAGGGTTTTTTTTTTTTAAGGAATAACAATCCATCCAGGAAGAATACATGGCAAAACTGAACCCCCAACTACTAAATATTATCCACACTATTATTGCAAGTGTCTATGTCTATTCAAGGAACCCCCGAAAAGTCCATTGGGAAGCAGTACATTGTTAGTAACAGAGTCGCCACTAAGTACCATGTCAGAATTTCAAGCAGTAACCACACTCCCCATTCTAGATGGAATATACTATCAATATTCCTTAGTGATTTTTAAGGTGGGGGGGGGGAAATAGCTCCTGAATGACCTTTAGTCTAAAACATAACTCATGACTATTGAGTGTACTAAACTAGGCAGCGTTATGGTAAAAGGATCAGTTCAGTTTAACTTTCTGGATACGTGGAAGATGCCACATATACTATTTATACGTGAAACAATCAATCAAATCCAGTTTCCTGTGATGTATGGACTAGAAAACTAAGGTATTCATAGTCTTGAGGATATGATGTGATAGGCTTATTCTTTGGCTCCAGAGGTCAGCATTAGAAGCAAGGAGGAAATTCCATGGAAGCATCATGGTGTGATGGAAAGGCTGATGTTCTTGGGAGTCTGGAGAGTTCTAGATTCAACTTCTCCAACACTCCAGGCTATGTGGCCATGAACAAGTCACTTAATCTGTCTCTGAACCTGTTTCTTCATCCTTATTGGGTATGACATGGTTCGCTATTTACCTCAAAGGATTGTTGTGAGGTTCCAATGAGATAGTATATACTAATTGTACTTAAAGTATTATATGGCAGACTTTATCACTTCATTTTAATGTAACCACTTCTTTAGAGTTGTCAAAAAACAACAAAAAACAAACACAAAAAACTCCCACCAGAGTGGGCTGCTTCATGAGGTAACGTGTTTCTTATTAACCAAGATGTTGAAATAGAAGCTGGATGACATTGTGTCTGGAATGTCATAAAGGTTCATGCTTCAGGTAGAGGTTGGCCTACATGGCCACCTGTAAGGCTGAGTATTTTTCAGGTTTGGGGTAGAAATACTTAGACAAACCTTAGAACAAGACGTTGGATATAGTGACTGTAACAGAACTAGGATCCCACTTTTCCTTGGAGGTTCCCTGAATACCTCTCTTATAAGCATCTTTTGTAGCATAAAGCTTATACAACAGCAAGTAGAAAGGATACCTTGAAGAGCCAATGCTCTTTCATTTCTATTGCCCTGTTGGAAAGGTTAAAAAATATTAAATATTACCATTTGGTGGCAGAGAGAGAGAACTGCCTTGGGTTTGTTCAATTTCTTCTAGGAGTTCTGGTTTATTGCTTCCTTTTTTTTTATCACAATCCTCCCACATTCTCTCCAAAATAAAAATAAAAATGTAGTAAATCATAAATGTTAAATACTATCTCAACTTACTCCTTAAGGATTCTAAGCCAGGAGTCTAGCCTGCAGGGATGGCAAAGTGGAGGAAAGAGACGATTTTTTATTTGCCTTTTTATTACATTCTGGCAATCTGGGGTCCTTCCCCTTTTTCTTCATCTTCAAAAAGAAACAGCCCAATGATTTACACTTTCTTTTTATCCAACACCAACTGATGAAAACCATTCCATAACAAACCAAAGATTAATTTAGGCAGAGGCCATAGTCCCTCTATTCCAAGACATTCAACATAAATTAAGGTGGAAAAAAGATTCTTCCCCTAGTGACAAAACCAATCCCCCAAACAAATGAAATGCCAGTCTCTTATGTAGCTCTGGCCTTGCAATATGGGCAATAGAGATGTAACAGGGGACTGGTTTGTAAAACCAAACCTGGGACCATCTTCCATTGAGTTCATGAATAGCAGACACCTCATCACTATTTGCTTCTCTTAGGGTTAAGTTTTTGCTCTATTTTCTACCATCTATAGATTTCATCTAGATCAGCCACTACATTATTGCAGTACTTTCTTTGTGCTCACTGGGAAAATTGCCATGATATGGGTAGAATGTGGACAAGGCTTGATCCAGCAAAGGGGCATATAAGGAGCAGGGTGGTTATGTCAAAGTTAGTTTAAAAAAAAATAGAATCTTAACATTACAAGTAGTACATTTGCTGCTGGTGACAGAGTGTGGATAAGTAGATAAGAATAGCATGAGGTTTGAGTTAAAGTGGAGAGAATAAGGAAATATGTGAGTTAGAGACAGGCCAAGGTTCTACCCTACATCATGCCTTAGATATGCACTCAGATGGAAGAGAGTGAGGCAGCTTTGACCCTCATACTAAGGAAAATGTAGCAGAAATGGCAAGATGCACTGAACCATACATAAGTTTCTGCTGAACTTCAATCAGAACTCTCTTTACTTTCCTTCATCAATTATCTTTATATGAGTAATCATGGCCTCCAAGAATTGAGACCTAATTCCAGTCACTGTAGTAAACTAGGACAAAAAGGGCAACACAAGCTGGGGGGGTGGGGAGGAGAGGGAAGGAGGTAAAGAGAGGGAGGGAGGGGAAGAGGGAGGGAGAGAGAGAGAGAGATATCGATCTAGGTTCTGGTGGCAACCCAAGGTAGTTTGGGTCAAATTCCCCACTCTCTTCAAAAAAAGGAATGATAAAGGACAGAAGACCCATATTTCATATTTCTGGTCTCTGGCCTCCACCCCCCACCCCAAGACCCTCACTTTCTATGTCTCTACCTTCCCCCCACCAAACACACAGCCTTTCAGTTCTTTGACAACAAGGTAAGAAAAATGAGGGTTTTTTTGTTTGTTTAAACAGTCACTAAGTTGGTTCATCTTCTAATAACACCCCCCTCCCCAATTCCCCATTCAATCCTGTATGATCACTTCATCCTCTTCTTCTTCCTCCTCCTCTTCCTCCTCACCCCCATCCTCTTCTGGAAGGTCTTCTTCCTCTTCTTCTTCATCCTCTTCATCCAGACAAACTACCACCTCTGCTGGCTCAGGTGAACGAGAATAAAACCAGTCTAACACTTGCTGGGTGCTCAACCCTGACTCTAGACTCAGTCGAGGGAGGTCATCTTCTCGTAACTGTTGGTGGACTATCCAGTACCGTTCCAGGGGACTTGTGTCTGGGGGACGGGGAGGGAGGGGCAGTGGAGGCATCTCAGTCCATTCTTGTAAAGGCCAGGCTAGAGGTCGTGGAGTAGCGGTAGCTGGTTCCTGGTAACTGGGGGGGCCAGGCACTGCATTATCGCGAAACCATTTCAGTTGTCCATGCTTGAGGGCATAGCGGGTGTCACCAAACCATTGGATAATCTCAGGTCTAGGTAGGCCAGTGATTTGTTCCAGTTTGCAGTAATCCTCACGCCGAGCCCACTGACACTGTAAAAAGAAGGACTTTAGAATGGCCAGCTGCTCTTTGGTCTTGCGCTTGGTCTTACGTTGTCGCTGCATATCTGGGAAGTAGTACTCTGCTGAAGCAACTCTGCCTGGCCCTGGGCCATGTCTTAGACCTTGTGGCCAAGCAGGCTCCAAATGTGGAGGTAGTGCCTGTTCGTTGGGGGAGGGTGGCTGAGGAACACATCCCAGTGACTGAAGGGGTTTAGAGGAGGCAGTGGCTCCATTAGCCATTACTTGGAAAGAGGAAGAAGAGGTAGAGGAAGGAGGCAGGATGGATGCTGGCTCCTGCTTGCAGCTATTGGCAAGTAATGCAATAGGTGAGGGCCTGTCCCGAGTGTGTGACAGATGGAAGCCAGTAGAGTGATCCCAGGCAGTAGTTCCCAGGCTGTGTGGTTGATGGTCAAGACCTCTGCTTATCAGCTCCTTGGAGAGACCACTTTGCAGTTCCTGCCAGAAACCAGGTTGATGGGGGAAGGCCCCACTGCCAGGTGCAACCAGGGGTTCCTTGGCCTTGTGGTGGCTCAAGGGCAGTAAGGAGGACTCTTCAGGCTCCATCTTTAACCGTTTCACCTGAGGGGGCTCACTAAGTGTCAGAGGGCCAATGTGGGTGCCAGCCGAGTCTGGGGGTGGCACTGGGGTGGGTGGAACATCCTCAGGGGGTCGCCCTGCATGATGAGTAAGAGAAAGAAGGGATTTGAAGTGGAGTTGGTCCCGGTTGTAGACAACCCGGGCCCGAGTCTCCTCAATCTCTTCTGATGACCAGCTGATGCCACAGCGGAGGCGCTGGGCCATAAACCAGGTCTTAACTTTCTCCATCTGCAGTCCATAGCGAAGGCAGAGCAGTGCAATGTCTGCTAGGCTGGGGTAGGGAAAGTAACTGAAAGTCCGTAACAAGTGCTCGTTGCCATCTAGCTCACTGGTCTGGGCAGCCTGGGTCCACACGAGCTGCAGCTCCTCTGAGATAGGAGGGAGGCAGATGAGCCCTGCGGGGGGGCTGGCAAAACTGTTAGCCTCTTTGTTTGGGGGCATGGTAAGTTCTGACTTGTGGCCTTCTGAAATGGCTGTAACAAGAAGAGAAATAATTTAACCACTAGGCTCTCTTACCTGCCTCCCCTCTTCCCTGGCTTCTATCATCAAAATCTGTGTGGCAATGAGGGGAGGAAATGACCATGTGTACACTTTTATATATCCTATCTTATCCCAATTCCAATTCCCTCTAGGAGTCCTGCACCCTCACCCATCAACTTTAGTGGGGGGTAAATGGTAAGTCAGTCTCTTTTAAAAGAAATAGGAGCTCTGATATTTGTATTTGTCACAAACTGTTCACTAGGATGTGGAAAGCTTTGACAAGGACAGACAGGTCTATTTTTCTTCCCCTTCTTATAATTTTAATGATAACTTACAAGAAGGTGCTAGCTATACAAAGGGTCGTTGCAACCCAGGTGGGGAAGTAGCTCCTCCCTCTCCCCTAAATCCCTACTGTGAGCCCTTTGCAATTTGGGAGTGGGGATCCTGTGAGAAGGGGAAGGGAGTACCTGCCATGTTTCCAGCTTAGCTAAGACAAACAAGACAGTACACCTTAAGCCCAGACCTGGTGACTTCACTTTTTGCTCTTCTCAGGCAAAAAAGAGAGAAGCAGGTCAGGTTTTTGGGATGGTTCACTCCTACCAGGGACATACACATACACAGGTCGAGTGGTGGTGGAGAAGGGAGGGAGAATTCTCTTCATCACTAAGTCATCGTCTGAACAAAGGTTAACCCTTTCCCTACCCCCACCCCCTCCTGCCTTTGTCTCCTCCAGCTGCTCAGCCACTCCCTAGGGAACTCTGGGTGCTTAACACACTCCCTCATTACACAGTGCAGAAGGGCTGCTTTCATCTTTTCCACTCAGTGGTCCTCTGAAGACAGAAGTTGGCAGAGACTCTGTGGGTGAAAGGGCAGCTCCTTCAGTAGTTCTGCCTAAAGTAGGCAGTCGCTCTAAAGCATCTCCCAGGCAGAATGGTGAGGGTGGAGAAGAACAAACAAGAAACCCAACAACTGGACTGTCCTTGAAGACTCCCCATTCTCATAAGCTTTGCTAATTTTCCCAAACATCTCCTCAGTACCTTGAATTATAACCCCGGCTCTCGATAGCCTTGCTACTGTGTGCTTCCATTACTGTATTTACTATCCCTCTTACTTGAGACTATTGAGGAATAGTGTGAAGAACACTGGATTTGAGAGGTTTACCTTGATATTTATGAGCCCTGTGATATTGGTGGAGTTATTTAATCTCTGCTGGGCCCAAGCTTCCTCACATATAAAATGGAGACGCTTTCTCTCTTACTGACCAAATGAGATAATGAATGTGAAAGTGCTTGGTAAACTGTAAAATGTTATATAAATATAAGATGGTAGTTGTTACCTTGGAATAAATCCCCTTCTCCTTTATCTCTATGAAAAAATACTTCCCAGTACAAAATGTTACTATTCTGAGGTGAGCAATATCTCAATGCAAATGACACTTAATGAGCTGAGAAGGTAAAGGAGACCCTGGGTCTGCTTGTTTCAGAAGGTTGGATGAGGAGCCTAGACACATATGCTGCCAGATTTTTCATGATTATTGAGTGAGTTCAGTGAGTTCACTGTACCTCCTAGCCCTAGAGTATCACTGATGGTCACACAGCTGAATTTGAACTGGCTATGGAGTCAGAAGACCTGGATTCAAAACCTGCCTCTGATGCTCACTGTTATGTGTGGGCCTTAGTTTTCTCACCTGTAAAATGTGAGGTGGGGAGGAAAAAATTGTTGACAAATGCCCTCTGAAGTCCCTTCCAGTTTAAAATCTACTTTCCTATGATCCTATGATAAGACAAATGAGGCAAATGCCTAATGAATTCTGAAGATAGTGCAAGATATAGACTAGGAAGATTAGCTGGAATCAAGAGTTTTCCTATATTTTCTATTTTCTCAGTTTTGTTGGGTGGTTTAGAGACAAGGAACATATCTTTGCACATATTGGGGGAAGGTAGGGTAAAAAGGCAAAATTGGGACATGTTTTAAGGGTAGAAAGACCCAAATCCCTAAGCCCCAATTATCTTTCTTGCTAGTTATGGTATATAGTTACGGTATATAACAAAACATGATTTATTGGCTAGTTGCTTGACCAGAAGTCATGTTCCAGGCACTTTAGTAGCAATATAACCCCAGACAAATTTCTCATTATCTCTGACTCTCACTTTCCTCATTTGTAAAATGAAGATAACAACAGACCGTATTATTGTAATAATCAAATTCCATAAAGCATTTAAAACTGTTTGCAAATTTGTAAGTGCCATGTAAATGTGAGGGCTATGATTATTAGCCATAGAACAGAGGATCCTACCTCTCTCAGAAGCTTACCCCTAATGTTTGGCCAGGGAGATAGTGGTGGCAGAGAGAGATCACTGCTAATATGGTCACAAAAGCACTCTGGAATCCTTTGGCCTAGAAACTGAAACCCACCATGAATACTGCAGAGATCCTAGTTTGAAAAATGCATTATATGGGCTGATTCCTCCCCAGAAGAATTTGGTTTGGAAAGGGGAGAAAACCACTAACCACATCCAGGGGCTGATTCATGAAAAACATAAAACAATACTTTGAGTAGGTCCTATCCACAAACAAAAAGCAGAATAGAAGGCACTACAAGGTTTCTAGGTCCAGTTTTGAGTTGAGGTTAAAGGTATGACTAGGAAGTTTCAACTGCATCTTCAAAAAATCTGTCTTTTTTATTTTTAAGCGCTCCCCCTGCTTCACATACACACACTTCCAACCTTTCCAAGTTCGGGATAAAACAATCAATTCCGATTCATACTTTCTCTTACTTCCTCTAGGGCATTCATTTCCCCTAAGCAAAGAAAGAAAGCCCAGGAGACAAAACTTGCAGAGGTAGGGAGAAGGGCGGGGGCTGGGGATTAGTTAGAATGCCGGGGAGAGTAGGGTGATTTAAGGAGTCCAGCCCAGGTTTTCTTCCCGCACCGAGGGAGGGACCCTGGTATTCATTTCGAGCCAGAGCCTTGAGTTATGGAGTGGAAGCTGGGTAAATCATAGAAGCCTGCCAAAGATCCCCAGCTTTGGCCGGTACAGTGGACAGAGCTAAAGGCTTGGAGCCAAGAAGATCTGAATTCAAATGCAAACTTAGACATGTACTAGCTGTGGGCAAGTCACTTAACCTCTATCTGCCTCAGTTCCTCATCTGCAATATGGGAAGACACTGAAAAAGGCAAACCATTCCAGTATCTTTGCCAAGAAGACCAGAAATGAGGTCATGAAGAGTCGTACATGACTGAATAACAAAGACCCCAAAGTTTCAGGCAGCAGCAGCACAGTCTAGGGTAATTTATTGACCAGGGGATTTTGGGGCCCCAAGAATTTACTCTCCAAAATGAGCAAAGGAAATGGTGGCACAGATTTAAAGATAAGCATATGGGGGTGGGGATGAAGGGTGGAGAGGGAATCAACAGGATTTGAACCTGGCAAAAAGGGGCTGTGCCTAGTCGAATGGGGGGGGATGGGCCAAACCCCAGCCTGGCTCGGAAGGGTGCTTGGGAAGACGACCTCGGGATCCTGGGACTGCTAGTTGCCCACCTGGGGCAAGGAGCGGCGGGTCCCTTCGCAGTCTGGGAAAACTTAAATCGCACACCTTGGCTTTTTGGGCGTGAGGCTGTAAGAACTCTGAATGGGATGCCTCTGGTTCCCTCCATCCTTCCCACTCCCAATCCCAGCCGCGCGGCTCCAGCTCCCGGGAGGCGGGCCAGGTGGAGGTGTTTGTGCAGGGGAGAAAAGAGGGGGCACCTCGGGCAGCCCGTCCCCAGCCCCGGATTTCGGGCTGTCAGGCCCGGGCACGGGGTGGAGAATTTACCTTCCCCTTCATTTTCCAGTAGGTCCAAAAACAACAACAGAAACAAAAAAAGCGCCAAAGGGGAAAGGAAGTTGCAGCTTTCAGGGCGTCGGGTCTGGGGCACCGGGGCCGGAGCGGGTCTCGATCCTCCTGTTGCCAAGAGCTGTGGGGGCCCTGCTTCCCTGCCCGAGACACCCGCACAGCCCTGGTCACCCCAAGCAGCAAGCGCCCGCGTCCCGGGCCGGGCTCCCAGCTTCGGGTTCCCGTCCGCCACGCCTCGGGACTGGGGTGGGGGGAGGTCCCGCACTCGGGGGTCACTCACCGCGGTCCAGCCCGGGCGGCTCCCAGCCTCGCACCATGGACCGGGGGGAGAGGGAGGGAACAGGGGCCCGGGAGCCTCCAGAGTGACCGGCCCACCGCCCGGGGCCAGCACGGGACCTGCCAGCACAGAGGGCCAGGCGGGACAGAGCCGGGTTGGGCCGGGCCGGGTTCGCTTCCCGGATTGCGCCGGTCCTGCCAGCCGAGCCCGGCCCGAGCAGGGGAGTGGGGGGGGGGGCGGGGCCGGGGGGGGGGGGCGGAGCGGGGCGTCCAGGCCCAGGCGGGCTGGGGCAGGTCGGGAGCCTCGATTGGCGGGGCTGGACTAGCGGCCGCGGGAGAAACAGGCTAGGGCGCGCCATTGGGGACACGGAGCTCCGCCGGCTCGCTATTGGCTGCGTGGGGCCCCGCCGGGGCGGGCTGCTGGTTGCTTGTGGCTCCGGGAAGAAGTCCCCCGGCCCAGGGTGCAGGGAGATGAGACCCCGCAACCCTGAGGCCGCCTACCAGGGAACGTCCGGGGTGCCAGGGCGTGGCCTCGCACATCCCCACCCACTCCGTGGGCTGCAGAGGGCGCCCCCTCAGGGCCCCAGGCCAGAGGTTTTCCACGCCCCGCCTCTAGCCACCCACGTGGTTTGCGGAGCCCAGCCTCCGAGCTCATCCCTATTAGCTGGACTAAGAGCAAACGTGAGAAAAGCACCCGTCTAAACTCCGCCCTAGAGACCCTCGGACTGGGAAAGACCCGGAGAGGGTGGCTCCTTAACTCTGGGGCTAGAGAACGAATGGTGTCTTTGCTAGGCCTTCCCTGTTTTTTGTTGTTTAGTCGTTTCAGACTCTTCGTGACCCCAAAGATTCTGAAGTGGTTTTGCCATTTCCTTCTGAGTGAGATTGGTGAAGACCCTTCATAAAATTTAAACTTAAACGAGTAAAATAAGGTAAAGACCCCTAATAATAATATATGTGTACCCAGGATCTGAAATGAACAAAAACAGGGTGTACTAAGAGGATGCTTGAAGGAGGGAAAGGCAGGTGCAAACTATGTAACGATTCTGTAATTTCCCCTGCTGTTGCTGGGGTAGTTTTTTCGGGTTTAGATTGTGCCCTCTGAAGCCCAGTCAATGGGATAAGATGTAGGGGATAGGGAGGGGTTGCGGTTAGGAACTATAAAAATGCTTGCTTGGCTGACACCACCTTCGGTCTTGCATCGCACTGCCTTTCGGTGCAAGTCGCCCTTTCTCGAGATCGAAATAAAATCCTTTCTATTTTCTACCAGGAAAAGGAATTAATTTGGGTAAGGGTCATCGCTGTCCCACACACTTCTCTGGCTCATTTTACAGATGAGGAAAGTGAGGCACACAGTTACTTGCCAAGGGTCACACAGCTAGTATGTGTCTGAGGCTACATTTGAACTCAGGAACATGAGTCTCCCTGACTCCAGGCGTCTCTTCACTGGGCCACCTAGTGGCCATGCCTCTTCCCTAAGAAGTTAGAAACCACCGAACCACTGGCCTGGCTTTGGGCATACTTATACGTGAAGTTCTGAGAACCTGTGACTCTTCAGGTGTGGGGAGCTCCAGTTGAGGAACTTCCTCTACCGATACTGATAGGTACCTTGTATGATCTTAGGGTAGCCTGAGGACACTAAGAGGTTAAGTGACTAGGACAGTGATGCAGTTGGTGTGTGTCAGGTTAAAGATTTGAACTTAGACCTTCCTGCCTCCACAGCACTGCCTTCTATCAAAGGTTCCCAAAGTGGGCGATACCCACTCCCTGGGGGGCACTGGAACGATCCGGGGGGGCAGTAGTAGCCTCCGTGCAATTGGGGGGGGGGCCTTGAATGAAAATAAGAGGGTGGTGGAAGTATAAGGAAAGCAGAGAAGAAAAATTTGAAAAAACCATTAGTATATGTTTCATCTGTTGTGTAACAGAGTTAAAGTCGTAGTGATTACATTATTTTCCAGATTAAACACAGAAAATACAAGTTATAACAAATCAGTGGTCAAGTCCAATGACAGGTCTTAACAAGCAAGTGTTGGCAGGGGGATCCTGTAGCATTCTCGGGAAGTCTAGCATGCATCAGCAGGAATATGTGCACTGAATGACTTGTTTACAATACAATACTATACAGTTACATGATGCTATTACTGTCATCAAAATTTCAATGCAGGAAAAAACTCACAAATTTACAATAAACTATTAAATTTAAGCTGTCTTTTTTATTTATATATTTTTTGAAATGATGCAAATTTCAAAAAAAGTTAAAGGGTTAAAGAAAGATTGGGGGGGAACTGAGTAATTTTTTTTAAAGGGGGTGGTAGGCCAAATAAGTTTGGGAACCTTTGCTCTAGATCCACTAGGTCATGCTGCAACACTTTCAGGGCTTTCAGTTTGCCCTAAAACAGTCTTCTCCCATAGTCTAACTAAAATCCCATCTTCTCCAAGAAGCCTTTTGAGATCCTCTTAACACTAGTGCTTTTCCTCTGATTATCTCCAATTTATCCTAAGTATAATGTGTTTGCTTGTGCTCTTTCCCCTTGCACTCTCTCCTCAATCCCCAATAGACTGTGAGCTCCTTGAGAGCAGGGACTGATTTTTGCTTTTATTTGTATTCCCAGTGTTTAGTACAGTGCTGAGTATTAAGTGCTTAATAAATAAATGCTTGTTGTCTTGACTCCACAAGCCCAGAAAACTCAGCCACCCCCTTTGCCCTGACTAAATTACATAACACCTTTTCTTCTACAGTTTTTAATCTCTTGCCATTTCGGTCCTCTTCACAGTACACTTAATTCTCATTACTATAGGATTTTCCTTATAACCACCTTGCTAAGTAGTTAGCAAGAGTGTATGTTTTAAAGGGTAGGGAATAGCCTCAAGAAGGTGAACTGTTTTTTGTTCAATACGCAGGCCTCAATTTTTCCTTCACAAGGGAGACCTCCAGCTTTTACTTTAGGCTCTACTGGTCTACTTCAGGGTCTAGAGCCCCTTTTGGTTACCAGATATCCTGATTGTAGGGAACTGTTCAAAACTGTGGTGCTGTCAGGCCTGTTTTGGGCCATGAGTCCTGTTTCAGATCTTTGAAATACAACTATATGTAATCATGATTCACGTTCCCCCTCCTGCCCACCAGTCAATATATGTTGTGTAGGTATCCTTCAAACTAAAATTTGGTAATGTTATCTTTTAGGGACATAGCCTCACAAAATGAATCCACAATAAAGGCCTAGAAACTTTCCACACCTCAGGTTAGAACCCTGGATGATGTCACTTTCAGTTAGGAGGGAAGCCCAGACATTTGTCAAACCTATGCACACTTGCGTTTGTGTCTGGTAAAGTTAGAGTCTCGGTAGTTTACAGCCCTCAGGTTCTAGTACAGCATGGAACTGGATTTGTAGTCAGATGACCTTGAGCAAATCACTCTGGGCCTCAGTTTCCTTTTCTGTAAGAAAATGAAAGGTTTGGACTAGCTGACCTTTAAAGTTCCTTTCCAGATTTATATCTGTAGTCTTACAACCTAGAGGACAGGACCTCAATGAAACAAACCTGGATTGACCAGCAGACATGCCACTATGGCTATAAAACCAGACTGGGGGGGGAAGGAAACAGATTGTGGGGATTTCCCACAGCCCTTAATTAGCCCTGGGGAGAGTATGGGAACCATCCTAGGGCAGCAAAGTTTTGGAGGTGGGTTATTTCATAAAGATTGAGCCGAAGCTGATTCAGAAGCTATCTTGTCTCTGTGGCTCAGGAGAGGTGCAAGGGCTTGCTCTGGAAAGACCAAGGAGGAGGAGTTCGTGACAAGGGAGTTGTTGCTTAGTCTTCTGACTCTTCTTGACCCCATTTAGGGTCTTCTTGGCAAAGATACTGGAGGGGTTTGCCATTTCATTCTCTGGCTCATTTTACAGATGAGGAAACTAAGTCAAACAGTTAAGTGACTTGCTCAGGGTAATACAGCTAGTGTCCAAGGCTAAATTTGAATTCAGGAAGATGAATCCACAAAGGAGGGGAGAAAAACCCTGGAAAAGAACATAGAGGATCCCTCTATTGTTAAAATTATTTTCCATAGGAGGGAAGATAGAAAGTGGAAGCATAAGAAAGATTAAATTGACTGAAGCAGTAAAGGGCCTTCTCTAGCAAAACAAAATTGCTTTTCCTATGGATAGAAATGAGTATGGAAGCAAAGCATATTTTTCCTTCACTCTTACCTTGACTAATTCTCTAAGGTTTGTTTTTCTTTTTCTTTTTTTTTTTTTGCTCATGCACTCAGCACGTGAGTTAGATTCTATTATTGCAAGTATTCTCTTTGGTTGCATGAAGGGACAGAACTAATGTAACCTGGAGAGGCTCCTTATAATTTTTAGAATGGAGGACTGGGACAGCAAAAGATGCACTGAAGAAGCCTGAAGGTATTGAGCAATGGGAGTTGGGGAGGTGGAGGAGGGCAAGGGTGGATGTGGGTAGGCAGGGGTGGAAAAGCTGGAGTGGGGTGGAAAGCCCAGGAGGATTGGGTATCATGGGGCAATCCCCACTCACCTCTCCTTGAGTCTCTGTTCCTCATGTTCAGTTTATCCTTCAGCATATCAAACTTCACTTACAACACCCTGATGGGAAGGGAAGGGGGGGAAGCTGTAGTGACATCACAGCTTACTCATTATGATGTAACTAGGAGGCACTTGATTATTCTTGGTCCAGGCCCTTCTGGGGGTAGGAAGATTCTGGCCTCAAACCTAGAGTTAGTCAGACTGTACCACCACCAAGATGGGGGGGGGGGGTTTGAGGGAAGGGAGGCCAGAAGACTTGGGGGTTTCATCCTTTCAAGGTAGGAGGGAAAGCTAACTTTCTCTCTTTATTAT